AAATAAATATTAATTTATGTAACTGATATATATATATAATTTTCTGTGAAAGATGTAACCTAATTTGACCATAATGGGAAAATTCATTTTGGAATTTACAGGGTATTCACTACTTGCAATCACTGAAAAAAATCTCAGCTAGAAACCTGCCTAGTATGTGTGTGTGTGTGTGTGTGTGTGTGTGTGTGTGTGTGTACAGTGAGGATTAATTTAAAAAGCAAACAATCTCTGTTTGTGGTCTTGCTAAAAGATGAAGTACTGTTAGCTGAAGTTGAGCTGCTACCTGTTACCAGTCTACTCTTTTGGTCAGCTATAGCAAACCAGAAAGCCTCCTCAACAGCAAAGCATCATGTTTTAGTTAAGACTTGCAGCAAAAAAATCCCTCCTTCTCAAGACCTTAGAAATAACTCTCTCTTACTAACTTTTCCACTATCTGTACAGACTTCTTATATTAAAAAAAAAAAAAGCTCTAAAGATTGCTTTCATGGACTATGTACATAAGTGCAAAAAAGGTGTGTCTCACACATTCGCACCCTAACTGAGACAATCAGTTAACTGCAGCATATGTCTCTTAAACACTGTTAAGGCATCATTCCACAGTATCTTTATGTATGGTTTTACAAATGAATTAATGTCATAATAAGTTTTCATTATACTTTAATCTTCATTTGGATATATTGTATAAGTATATAATTTCAGAAAAGAGAATTTTTACAGTTACAGCTATGCCACTTGAACAACTTTGAATAAATGAAGTTATGAAAAAAGTCAGGTAATGTATTATAAATATAACAATTGTGTTTTGAAGTCTTAAATACTGTGGAATAACCCTATCCACATAATAAATTTTTATAAGCTATAAAGCCTGATTCTAGAATCCATGTCTTGCAAACTTGTTGATGAAAAAGTCACACAAGGACACACATTCAGCTTTCACATGAGAATTTGGGATAAAAAGAAAAGTAACCATATGTTTTCTGAGATTTGAAATGTATCTTCTGTATGCTCATACTGTCAAAAACCCATGTATAGTTTACAAGTAAAATTTTCACACAAAAAAACTATCTTAAGGTAGCCATGTTGTAGTTTTGTTGCTAAAGCAACAACTAAACATAATTAGTTAAAATTATCTGTATATAAAGTTAAATTTGTTCTTAAACTGTGAACTGTAAAGAATAGTTATAAATTATAATCTATATCTTGTCATTCTTCAGTGTCAAATTAGAACCCAAGAAGATTGAATACATGTAGTAAAATGTGAAACTTTTTCTAACTCTCCTTCTAAAATAAATTGATTAGTTACTTAGAGATATAAAAAGTAATAAAATCTAAACCTTAAAAACTAGCAAGAAAAATGAAAACATGGCACCAATTAGTGAGTTGGTGCTAAAAACTTTAATTTATCATTATACTTACAGATTGATTGGGCTATCAACTAATTTTTTTTTAAAGTTACACCCTTTTACATACTATTTATTTTATTACTTTTAACAGACACTGGTAAAATTAAAATTAGGCCACTATCTTTCTAAATCTCTTAAACATAATTGGGAAATCATATTTCCCTATTTCCATTTCAATGTGTGTGAAATGTAGAAGAGATTTTAAAAATTGGGGGATTCCAGTTTTTAATCGTTCTGTTCATAACAGCCTACCCTACAGATTAAAATAACTCAGAAACCTATGGCTGCATTTTACCCAAGAGCATTCTTATCTACTCTCTCCAAAGGAGTGGGAAAGGAACTAAATAACATTCCAAGTAGCACACAGGCCTTCTTTACATATTATTTAATACTATTTAATGCCAATGGCTTCCTTATTCAGACATTACTATGCTTACTGGACATGCCATTAAAAACAGATGCAAATTGTAAAGGTTAATTTTATTTGGTTCCTGCTGCTGGTAGTGAGGAGGCACTTGCTTTTTCCCAAATCTGAGAGCTGGTGAGGCTACCAATTAGTAAAAACAGCCCAGTGGTGTGGGACAACACTGTGGCAAGATTATGTTAAAAAACGAATAGAAGAGACTGATGGAGTAGGGAGAAGATGGCTTTTCACATCATGATCAACTATAAATTAAAGACTATACAAGTGAAATGAAATGCAATAGCTGGTTAGAGTCATGCTCCAATTGCAAAAGCAAATACTGTATTTAAATAGCAATTTTATGAATCCACTTAATTTTGATTTAATCATAATCTTTTAAAATTATACTTATGGTCACAGTGCTTTTAAAAACTGACACTACTAAAACTCTCTTAAAAGATAATTTTTAGATTATTTTCTCTGTGTACATGACTTATTTTGTCTAAGTTTCAGCACTCTTGCATATTTTTGCAAAATGCTGAGAAAGACAAACAAAAACAATGTTGGATAAGTAAAAATAGAGGCCCTTGTAAATTACAAAGCTTAAAAAATCTTGACCAAGAATCACAAGTGATTAGAATTTTATATATACAATTCATTCAGTAAATTACTGTTTAGTGTCACTCATTAGTTTTGTGACTTCTCTTTTTATCTGAAAATTTATAGTCTAATGACTAATCTTTCTTTTCTTGAATAAAGATAAGTTGAACAAGTCATTGCACAACTGTTTTAAACGTGTTATCTTAAAATTGCATTTTTGTCAAAATTATTTTGCAATCTGCATCAAAACTTGAGTGCTTTAACTTTTATTTCTTTAAATTCACTTATAAAGCAATGTTAAAAGTGCCAACAACGTAAAAATTGTGGCAGCCAAATTCAACTACCCTAAATAGTCCTAACCAAACCTCTTACTAAAAATTAAATAATTAATAATGTCTTTCAGTTCTTAAAGCAACATGAAAACAGCTGTACTCTAGGTTTACTACCTATGTATGTCTTCATCAGCAGTTTAAAAAGTTAAATGAGACAGCATTTTGCACCAAAATATTAAACTACACAAAGAAGTTCATTTTAGCCTGAAAACATATCTATCTCCTTTAGGAATACATCCAGACTAGCTCAGGTGCATCCTTCCTGGAATCCTGTGATCAGATCTGCCCTTCTGGGAAGGCAGTGGCACAGATGTAACAAAACTCAGTTCCAAACACAAGCAACTTCACAAAGGTGTACTCTCCTTTCTTCTCTAACAATGTTAAGATTTGAGGAAAGGGAAATTAAGTGGTTCAAAGAATCAATAGATAAAAGTCAGGACATGTCTTGTTCTTTAACTCCTGGCAATACAATAAACAAATGGCAATGGCTCCATACAATCAAAACCATTTAGAAATCACTGATGATCATGACATGAATTGATAATTAAGATCAATAGGATATCAACTATTAAGGAGCTAATTGACCAGCTTTGGGATGTAGTCTCAAATGTACTAAAGCACAAACAATGTGAAACAGATGAACAACTGGAAGTCAGGTGACATTTGTGGGTCCAACTGTCCCCAACTAGGTAGGTAACCTGGGGCAAGTCACATGCCCTGGGCCTCAGTTTCATCATCTGTGAAAAGGTTTTGCAAATTCCATTGTTCTGTGATTCAAACACTACTAGCCTGTTTATGGTATTCTAAATCAGATTTTCTCTGTCATTTTTATGAAGTAGAAAACAAACATGTTATACACATCAAATTTGGTGATTTCATACTTACCAGTGAGAGAATATATATTTAGTAGAAGATATTAAATTTAAGTTGATGCAAAATGTCATATGGTTCCACCACTGTATAATAATAGTAACTTTAATAACTGAGTAAAGTGGAGGAAGTATATCATATAACAGGAATTAATTACTCTTTTACTTGGTTATAAAACTATTTCATAAGAATTAGTAATGTGAATTCAGCTCAGCTCTGTGGAGTGCAGCCACACTGACTCATCCAAAGGGTCTTCAAAACCTCTTTGTTATAATTTTTAAATACATATAAAAACAAATGAATCCAAATCAACATTGGTTATGATGAGAAAGACTCTGTTGTTAATCAAGTTTGGGGAGGGCAATACTTGTCATATATCACAGGAGCTTGCTCCTCCACTGAAGTGTTTTAAAAAACTGAAAACTCAGCTGAACTGGAGCTAAAGTCAACTGTGGACATCCTTCCTAGAACATTTAAATAAATCAAAAAATAATTTTAAATGTCTTCCTATCCTCCTCCCCACCCGAAACATTTCTCAAAACTATACTCAGGCTCCATCTGTGATCAATAGGAAAGATTGTCCATTTGGGGAGGGAAGGCCACACTTAGAATCAGTTCTCTCTCACCTTGACTGACTTTTGCTACATTGCATTTTACTTATTATTCAGAGTAGTCTCAAGAGCATGAACCATTTGCATTCAGAAATGGCTTTTGTATAAAAGGTAACATTGCAATGATTTTTACAAGCTTTCCCTCAATAAGTAAAAAGTATCTCCAGGCCCTCATCTCCCTGCTTAATTTATTACCTGTAATTAGCAAACCTTTCAGCCTCCAAGTATCAGTTTTTCAGCTGAAGATGACAAATGGCTATTTTAGACAATCAACCTGGGAGATAGGATCCTTGAGCCACAAAAAAATGTAATGGGCACTTTATATATATTTTTTAGTGTAAATGCTGAAAAATTTATTTAAATGTAAATTTTAGTTTTTTCAAGCTTTTTAAAGAGTGAAGTTAGGGGTTAATGTTTTATGAAGTTCCCTGTTTTTAGCAGGTAATGTCTCTCTCACAGGTAATCTACTAATGGATCATATTATGCAAGGTCAGATCTTTAGGTATAAATTATTCACATGCATGTTTATGAACAGGTTTTGTGAACACTCAAAAGTGAGGTCTTTTAAATGTCTTCCCCAAGAAACCTACAGAAATATTCTAAACATAGAAATCATATTTCCATTAACCTGTCATATTTTTCAAGCACACATATTTCTGTTTCCCATTAATAACAGTTAGTTGAAACCAAAGACCACACAAAATTACAGCAAAACTCTGTAGTATGTAAAAACCTATCACAACACAATATACCACAATACAGTGCAATACAATAATGAGGAAAATGGTATTTGGATGTAATTTTTACATTTTAAATCAACCCAGTAGGCTACTGTGTAAACAAACAGTAAGGTAACACTTCAAAACAGATGAACGTTTACCCACCAAGAATGCACAGTAATCCAAAATCCACTGTGGAGATTCATTCAGCATAATAGGTATTAGAAAATCACAAAGAATAGTATGGCAAATTACCAAATTTTATGGTAGTTTTCTACCTAATAATTAAAATAAGATAGATAGTAGTTAGTTTTCTACTTATGTTTTGTTTTGACATCTCCATTGATTGTTTAATGCTTTATTTTTTTTTTAATTTGAATGTATTGGTATTTTTGTTTTGTTTAATCTATTGACTGCACGATGTTTATTGTTGTGTTAGGAGAAAAAGACATACAAGAATATACACAGAAAGGCCATATGGAGGTTTTCATGGAGAGATTCTGATATTCCATAACTCTGTTGTTCAGAATTTCAACTAAAATGGAAAAAAAAGAGTGAGAAAAATTTAAGGGTTATTGAAGCAGGAGGCAGGATATTCGGTTCTTGTTCCAGTTCTTTATGTGCACTATACCAAGATATTATACCCCACTCTGCATTTCATATTCAACATCTACAAAAAAGAGGCTGTTGGAGATGGTCTCTAAAGATTCATCTCTAAAGTATATGGTTCTCATTGAGTACTAATGCGCAGAATTGCCCTAATTTAACAAAGATGCACTTAGTTGTTTAATGCTTTATCTACACAATGCCAAAACTTTCTGATGAACATCCACCCATCTATCCACTTCCTTCAACAAGCATATTAAAAAATCATGTTTATACCTGAAACTAATACAAAATAATATTGAATGTCAACTGTAATTGGAAAATAGAAGGGAAAAACAAAACAAAAACATGTTTGATTCCAAACATTCAAAATATGCAAATATTAAATAAACTTTGAACATGTTATCTGAATGTATTGGAGACTAAGCATGAAACCTAGGTACTATATAGTTTTATACAAAATTACATTTTTTGAACCTTGGCGAGATTTTCAGCATCTGTTACATATTAAAGTGGTCATGGTGTGTCAAATCCCTCTACATTTTCTAATGGAATCAAACAAAAAGGAATCACTACTCCCAAACATGTTCTGTTAGAAAGTTAATTTGACAATTTTTGTTTACCTTGAGGTGAAGCAGCCAATGAGAATCAGAGAAGTATTTACAAAATCCACAATTTCATGTTTGGTGCTATTCCCAAGTTGCCACTATTCCAAATGATACCACTGAAAACTATTACAATTCAAAGCTACTTCAGATATTCCAGGTACTCAAATATATCTTTAAAAAAAAACATTTCTTATGATTGAAGGAACCTATTTATCTAATGTACAGTCAGCTACAGGTTCTGTCCAGAACAGTTAGTGTTCTGGGCCTGGTGTCTTCAACAGGAAAAAAATGTTAGCCAGGTTCTGGGGAACTAGCCCATCAAGAGAATAGGACTGTTGGCTCCTTCAACCAAATGACACACTCTGGTTGTGAGAACTTCAAGCTTTCAATGACTAATGTATGCAATTCAGAACTGATACACTTGTTCAATAAGTCCCTCTAATTAATTAACTAATTAATTAATTAATATACCTAGGAGTTCTAAGTGGCTTCAAAAGTCACAGACTCCAAGTGAATGATTGTTCAAATTAAGTGTATGCTATTACAGGCTCTGGACCAGACAAAGAGGACATCAAAGGTGAAAGTGCTAAAAATCCAACAATAGCAACAAAAATTACATGCCAAAAAAGCCATGACTTGAATGAAAATAATGATTAAATTACTAAATTACATCACTCAAATTTCAAAAGAGCTGGAGCAATTCTGATAGACTTACATGGGAAGTAATGCGAAGTGGCAGACTGTAAAAGCACTACTTTCTGCATTGATATAGGAGAAGCATATTGCTTACTGTCTTTAAGATAACCATCTCAGTCAAATTGGGACAAAACTACTTTGCTTAAATTTAATTTTTAAAAGAAACTAGAAAAATTTTAACCAATTAAAATTGAAAAGTGATCTCTGTCTTTGGTTAACATATTATACCCCTTTAATAATAGGATGGCATTTCAGAATTTATAAGCTTATTGGAAAAACACATACCAGCTGTCACTTTTATATAAAATTGCATATATGCTGTCTTCATTTCAACTTGGAAATTTTAGAATGCTTTAAATCAAGATTTTAAGTTCTGAGCAATGTCTGTTAGTGAAAGTATTTACCAAAGCTTTAACAAATGCAATTGTGCAAATAAAAAAATATAACCTATACATATAATTTATATTAATACTTAAAGAAACTTACTCTTCTACAGGTAACTTCTACATCTGTGAAACAAACATGCTGCTATTCAGTTCATCTATTGATAATGGGGATATCTATGGTAGTAAAAGAAATTTTAGATTAAGATTGTTTCTTGAGGGAATTCCATTTATTTTGTTCACTGCTTGGACATGGTAATCAATCCCATAATCAATTTACAGGAAAATTTAGACATATTAACCATATCCAGTAATAGTTAATTTTGCAAAGCACAAATTGAAATGTGATTTATTTCCTCAATTAATTAATGTTTTGTGTATAATATGGTTATCATACGTGTAATTGAAATAGCACTGGAACTTGCAGTCCTGAAGCATGGTTAGCACTTTAATAAGGTAAGACAGCCTTAATATTGCAAAATAACTATTGTATGTATCTCCTTACAGTTTCAAGACTCCCCCAAATTTATAATTTCCCTTGTGATGCTACTTGTAAATACCTAAAGCAAATGGAACTCAAAAAAATACAAGCACATCATAATGTCAGTATAAGAAGAAATTTCTGACATAATTATTAGATAATTATAGGAATATCTGTGCCTTGGAAAGAAATGTGTTAACTTGCTTTATTTCCAGTAGATATGAAGGTAAAAGTGATGACTGTACTAAGTCAAAGTTGAAACACAACAACCAAAAATGGTAATAAAATAAAACAACAAATTCACCTCTTGACCAATGAAGAAGCATTTAAGAAACATTTAGTATATATGTTTAAGGATTGGTGTAGTAGCAATTGTATATATAACATCAAGAGAGATATCTCGTAACTGATTGAAAATGAGAAAACTCTGTTGATCCATCTCAGCATAACTAGCAAAGCAGATACATCCCTGAAGAACAGTGATTTTCAACCTTATTCATCTCATGACACACATAAACTAATTACTAAAATTCTGCAGCACACCAAAAATATATTTTTTCCGATCTGACAAAAAATAGGTATAATTTTAATTCAGTCATACATTATTGTGTTAGCTGTTGTCATTTTTTATTTGACAATCTAAGGGAAAAGAGGACAGTGCCCTTGACTAAACAGTCAGGTATTGCATGTTTTAAATATTCTTGCAGCACATTATTGTGCCACAGCACACAGGCTGAAAATCACTGCTCCAGAATGAACACAAAAATAAAAATTCTAAATGTAACAACATCTTAGGAAACAAGATCATGGACCAATGTCTCTCACCAATCCAAAAAAGCATAGACTGTGTCTTACCAACACCCTGTGGTTACCTAGGTGAAGTAAATCGCCAAACCTGATTGCCTGTAGCTGTTGCAGCAAAGGGAATGCTGGTGACAGGTGATGCTGCAGACACAGTGGTAGGTGTAGCACAGTGCATCATGGGCACTTTCAGTAGGAAACCATGGAAGCAACACGCAGGAGGATGAACCATTTATGCAGCCATGACATAAACGATGTAATGGAGTATGGTAGGTATCACAGCAACAAGCCATGGGACACCATCATGATGGAGAAACCAGGGTGCAACATGCAATCACAGTCAGTACAAAGCAACACAGCACAGAATGGGAAAACATTTTAAAAGAGAAAAGGGGAAACCAATTATAGTTTACATTAAAAAATTATTTTCAACATTTAGTTTTTTAGTAGAATCACATTTTATTTGACTTAGAAGGCCAAATTTCCAGAAGGGTTATAATGGCTGCTATAGTAAAATCTGATTTTACCAAGGCTATCTGTATGAATAGCTAGTTAAACAGACAAGTAACTGAGTTGCACATTCAAAATGGGGAGTAGGGAAGTGTTTGGGTTCACTAACTTATAGACATTAGTGCTGTCACTAGATTTGCAGGTTCAAAAGGACAGTTATATCTACACTTACCTGATCTACATGCAAAAAAAAAAAAAATATGGTACTACGGCTGGTGGGTATATGGTAGGGGAGCAGATATGAAGAATATAATGGCTTACACATTCAGGTTTTTAAGTATACCTATGGCAAACCCCTTAAAACTTAGACTATAAAACAAACACATGGGATACTACATAGAAAATATCTGCCAAAATCTTGTCCTCATGGTGAATATTAGAGGTCCAATAGCTAGCAACTACAACATCTCTTTCAGGATGTTTTCTCTTTGCCTTTTCCAGTTTCAACCTCATTTTAAAAGCCTTGTGGATGCATCTTTCATTTCTAGCTCATTTTGGAAAGCAAACCAAGGAATTAATGGTGACTGGCAAGCATTCTTGTATAATAATTTGCATCTATGTTGATTGAATTCAAATTTTCTGAAAGTCTACAGAGGAAATGAATGAGCCAGAGAGAGGAAAATCAACATATTCAATGTCACAGAAGCCACAGTTGTACCCCAAATGTTGATTAACAGAAACTCTTGGTATTCCTTATGCCTATCTCTAGCAATCCATTACTTATAGACATTCTTTATTGTACAACATATCAATTCTAAAAACACTCTTTTCATCCCCTTTGGGAGCACAGCAACTATACAGGAAGCAGCACTACTGAAGCATGCAGTTTACATTTCTACACAGAGTTCTTAGGTGAAAGGATAAGGGAGCAGAGTCAAAAATGTGAAGACAAAGACACACTTCACAAACTTGCAGAAGTTTGTTCTTCTAACCATGTGCATATAGTGCTCTGTTATTATGAATGGAAATATTTTTTATTCTTACAGGGGACAGCCAACCCCTCACTAACAGAGACCTCACCTCTGTAGCCAGTGAGTGTTGTTATTACTATATGGTTGTCGTTTTGACTTTTTGTTTTATCTCAATAAGCCTCTTAGTTATTTTTGGGCTTCACATCTACTCTGTTTGACCAATGGGATAGAGATCAAAATATTGCAAAGTCTCAAAAAGGATGAAAGGAACTGGATTAATATGAGATGGTGGGTTGGGGTGGAATAATTTCTCCCTGTATCAAACAGTTATTTTTCTCCTCCTCTGTTCCTGGTGTTCATGGGGACTATAGGAACTGTGAACTCCCCAAGGATTCTAGATAAGGAACCAAGTCATTTTCTTTTCTTTTGTATTAGTGATGTAAAAAATGATTTTGAGATGGCCACCACATTGTATTGGTGGTTAATTAAAGTATTTTATGTAACTGGTTAAAAAATCATATACCCCCAAAGAGTCACTTTGAAATTATTCTGTTATGCCTAGTTTCCATGCACAGGGAACATTATAGAACCCATCACAGAACATTACAGAATGTTATAAGTTTGGTAAATTCATCCTTTCTAAATATCTGAGTATTGAATAATTTAGATATTTTTTTTTAATTTTTTTTATCCTCACCCGAGGACATTTTTCCATTTTTTTTTGTTCAGATAGAGTGGGAGGGAGAGAGAGGAAGAGAGAGAGAGAAACATCGATGCGAAGGGACACATCGAGTGGCTGCCACCCGCACGACCAACCAGGGCCGGGGACAAATTGCAACCGAGGTACGTGCCCTTAGCGGGAACCGAACCTGGGTCTCTCTGTACCGCAGGCTGACGCTCCATCCGCTGAGCCAAACCAGCCAGGGCTGAATAATTTAGATATTATGGGTAACTTTTATTGGAGGAATTTTTTGTACTTTAGAAATTGTGCATTTTAAATATTTCTATAATTTCTTAGTAACAAATGTAAAGCTGAGAACAAAATTGTGCATTCTGGATAGATAAAGAAATGTTTCAAAATAGTTCAGCTACACTTTTTAGGGTTAGCATAGGGCAATGGCAGGGTCAGTATTTGGACAACTAACTAGGTCTTGAGAATGCAGGACCATTGTGATTTCACAATGATGTGAAACAGCACCATAGTAAACTTTAAATACTCAGAAAATGTCCAACCACATCATTCAACCATTCATCTCATTCATAGTCACAACAGAAAATCACAAATTTTCAGATTAGAAAAAGTTGAGAATTTTTGCACAAAACCTACCAATACTTGAAGCAGGTGCCATGCACAGTATTTGCCCTATACACCATGCAGAAAAGCGTGAAAAGTAAAGAAAAGAGATATTTCATTATTTAATCTTTACTGATAGAAATAATTTTTAACTAAAAAGATATTCTCTGCAATATTAATTAATTAGAACATGCAAATTCAGGTAATCTATGTTTAAAATTATAGCTTAGTTTTAAAATCTTAAACCTAGGTAATCAATGTAATTCTTAGATTCTTAGGTATAAAATGAATATTAATTTTTTTGAGAGGATTATCTCACTTAAATTATATCCTTTATTTATTTTTGACAAATACATTCTAAGTAATTTTAATCATGAAAGGCAGAATTTTACTTATTACGTAAATTATTTTCAAAATATTCACCAAGATCTTGTACCGGTGCCAATAGTTCTATTTAAAGCATTTATCTATTATCACTGCCTATTCTACTTGTAACTGAAAACCTGACTATGAAAAAGCAAATAGGCTTTTCATCAAAAGGGGGCTCTCAGCCTGAGAGGTTTATAATTTGCTATTAATTAAGGAGGACAGGATTCTTCAGATATTTTGGCTTATAAATATAAATTTTAAATTATACAAATCCAGCAAAAAAATCTAAAATTGTGTCTTTTAAATGATAGCATGAGAATTATTGCAGCTAGTAACTAGACAAATCACTTTTTATAGCTTTTTTCAAAATTTATTAACTGATTAATTTACTGATTAACCAAAAGGTGTTATTTCAAGTCCAGGCATATAATACTATGCATTTAGAATATTTATACAATTAACAAGACTTTATAAATTAATTTTTAAATCATGTCATTTTCATTTAATAATAGTTTCTAAAAATGGGCATTTGTAATTCTGGTAAGAAAATCTACTATTCTCTGGGTAGTTAGTATTATAAATGTATTCCTAAGAGACTATATGCTAATTCTTAAAGTACTGAATGACTAGAAGAAAAGTATTTTCCCTCATATATATTTGAAGAAAATTCTGACTTAAAATTTTTTATCTAGTTTGGTACAAAAATGTTAAGCTATTAAATATAGTTGAATGTAGAAGATAAAATATACTTCAAAATATAAAATATGTAAGAAAAACTGATATGTTTTTTATATTAACTGGTTTAAGAATTAGAGGCTAGAACTACCAGTTATATTATACTATACATTACCTGTATATTATACTATACTATATAAATTTAAGGGTAGTTTTATTGTAAGTATCTTCGGTATATCAAAGATACCTAGACTACATATATTTTCAATGCTGAAAATGGGAAAGAGTTTTTCTTTTTAGGGCAGACTAATGTCATTGAATATTATACCTAAGAGTCAAGAAATTAGTTTGAGCCTGAACCAAGTGAATCAATGATAAGAAGCAAAAATTAAGAAATGCTAAAAAGAAAAATATTGACAGTGTTTCCTAGTTTGATTTTAAATGATCAATTTTCAGGAATCACAGAAACAAAGTTTTCTTACATATAGTAGCAGATCAAACATAACTACCCTGTTTTATTTCCTATCAAAAGACCTGTTGACAGTCCTGGTATAAAAGTTCTTTGGAAGCTGGTGTGCATTGTGTACACTCACAACATCATTACACTGACAGTGTCCAGAACCCTGTTCTCACCTGCAGGAACAAATGCTGGTTGAGGGAGCTGCAGATTAGCCAGAGCCTGTTGGCAATTGAAAACACTGGGATTAAAGACTGGGGCGGCACCATTGATCTTTTCAAATGCAGATCTTTTTGGTATCAGTTGAAATGCACCAGGCTGTAGGCCCTGGAAAGGAGGGTTAGATTAATAAATAGTACCAAAGGAAGTAAAAAAAAATGTACTCAAACAACAGTTACCTAAGGAATAGTGTGAGAACCCTCTGAAAGGATATCCATTGAGCAAGGTAACCAACTGCAGAGATGAAGCAGTTCACTAAATGAGGATTTAGTTCAAAACAGAAAAATACATACAAGGAAAAAAAGAAGCTTTTCAACTTCACTAATTTAGGCAAACAGAAAAAGACCTCATCATTTGGGCAGGATGTGACAGGAAGCTGTTAACAGCAAATAAGCATTTAAAATTAACATCTCAGAGATGCTCATCTACTAATCTGTTAAAATGAGATTAGTGGAGGCAACAGCTATAGCAGGAAAGAGATTTCTTCCAGTTAAAATTCTGATATGGATTTAGGAGATAAGTGGTATATAGGTGATGAAACAGATTATAAGTATTTGGAATCAGATGCTGTAGCCCTATAAAACAAAATCCAATTTATACAAGTACTTCAAATGCAAAGTCTATAACTGTATTTCTCCCAACAAAAATGTAAGAAAAAGGCAAGTGAATTATTACTCCCCCATCACCCACCTCACTCAAATACCATAGATAGCAAAATTAAGGCAATTCTCATTTATAGAGGCTTGCTCTGCATTTCAGTGTGTGCCATTTGCTTTGTACAGTCCTTTTAAGGTTTAATTCTAAACTGTATTAGCATTTTAAAATCCTCCTTTTATGTCTACAATTCTTTCAAAATCCCACTGTGTTTATAATAATCAGTCAAATTTGTCCCTGCATCAGATTCATTGGAGAAGTTTGTCATTACATTTTTTTTCCTCAGCAAATTGTGCATTACTTAAAACATGCCCCAGCAGCAATTATGTGTGCTTCAAATTCTTAAGAAGACAAGGACACTTGTGCTGAGTAACTAGCCTTTCACACACTAAAAAGGAATGGCCTCCTTACTCCTGTGGATAAAGAAAGCATAAAGGAATCAGTCTTTTCTTTGGGAAACTAAACATCAACCCATCAACCTTTCTTTTATTTTTTATTGTTGAAAGTATTACAGATTTCCCCTTTTCTCCATTGACCCCCTCCTTCCCACTCCCACCCCCCTCTTGCTTTCCCCACACTATTGTCTGTGTCCATTGGTTGTGCATGTATGCATATAAGTTTTTTGGTTTATCTCTTCTCACCCCCACCCATTCCTCTGAGGTTTGTTAGTTTGTTCCCTACTTTCATGGCTCTACATCTCTTTTGGTTGACAGCTTATTTTGTTCATTATGTTCCATAAATAAGAAAAATCATGTGGTACTTCTCTTGCTCTGACTGGCTTTTCTTTTAAATGCATTCAAGCTTCTTTCAGCGAAATCAACCTGAGCTATACACATGAACATGAACAGTGTAAAAATACCTCTTTTAGAAAGCATTTCTAGCCTAGCCAGTGTGGCTCAGTGCATTAAACATCATCCCATGGACTGAGATGTCCTGGTTCGATTCCTGGTCAGGGCACATGCCCTGGTTGCAGGCTTGATCCCCAGTGTGGGGCATGCAGGAGGCAGCAAATTGATGTTTCTCTCTCGCATCAATGTTTCTATCTCTCTCTCCCTTCCTCTCTCTCTAAAAAATCAGTTGAAGGCCAACTACATAATATTTAAATTTCTACATGGAAATTTGAGGCTGACTTATGTGCATGTTATCAAACACACCCAAATGATCAGAAATGAGCACATACATATGAAGGCCCCATGCCTGAGTGTGAGACAGGTAAAAAAGGTACAAGCATGCCTTTGTTTATACACCCCACTCATATGAGAACATTAACTTTTAGGGGCCAGATGTATTCTTCTTTATAATAGGTCCATGCTGTTTCTGAACTCTGTGCCACCAACAGAAATAATCCAAAATTAGAAGGCTTAAATTCTGCATTAATCATTCTGGATAGCTCCTACTTTCATACCTTAAGATTCCCTCATTCAACAGAGTTTAAGATAAAAACATGTGGTGAAGTCTTTTCTTTCTTTTTTTAACATTAATTAACATAACATTGTCCAGATCAAAGGAGAAAATAAGTTTGTTCTACTTTGGTGCTCAGCTCTTTTGTGAAGTAATGGGTTCAGTTTTGAGAGAAGAGGGGTATTGAGAAAGTGTAGCAAGTCCAAAATTGGTCCTGCATCCTTAAAGCCATAATATACCAAGAGAAGTTTGGGTTATCTGGTTTAGAGAAAAAGACTTTAGAGTCATCATTCATATGGAATAGGAATTGACGTACTTTGTATAATAAGCCTAAATTCCAGTTATAGCAAGGTAGATTTTAACTCATTATGAGGAAAACATTATTAACAAATAGGGGTTTTGGAAACAAATGTATTTCCCTTATTAAAGGTAAGGTCTCTGTCAGGGGCTTCAGGGTCCTGTAGTTTTTTTCCACAGCCAGGAAATGAGGTTCCTCAAGGTTCTGTCACTTATTGGATTATTATACCCTATTACACAAGAAAAGGCCCAAGCCAAAAAAGAAATAGCAAGCAACTTATCAAAATAATTGACAGCTGTGACAAACAAGTAATCATAATTCCTGTTTCTCAACCTATCACACAGTAGTATGGTATGCAGATATTTTTAGTATTATCTTTCCTATCTTTCAGTGTTAACTAGAATTAACTTTTCCCCAAAGCTGACTTGCTCCTCTTCTTGCCTCTTCTCCCAACCATGTAGAAATGCCCCCCACGCCCCCAGCCTCAGCTGGCTACTTCCTTAAAACCATTCCTCCATCCGGAGAGACCCGGGTTCGGTTCCCGCTAAGGGCACGTACCTCGGTTGCAGTTTGTCCCCGGCCCTGGTTGGTCGTGCGGGTGGCAGCCACTCGATGTGTCTCTTCACATCGATGTTTCTCTCTCTCTCTCCCTTTCTCTCTCTCCCTCCCACTCTATCTGTACAAAAAATGGAAAAATATCCTCGGGTGAGGATTAAAAAAAAAAAAAAAAAGAAAAAAAAAAAAACCATTCCTCCAGAGAGGAAAAAGAATTTTAACCTTTGAGAAATGAAAGCCTACTTATTATCCCATCTTTCAAGTCCTCCATTTTTAAAAGCACTAAGGGAATTATTAGTAAAGTGCCCATGAAGGTGGCTCATAGGCAGAGAGGCAGCTTGCTGCCTTTTTTAGTCACTAAGGCTAGTTATGCTATGAAAACCACTCAAAACTAATTTACTATTCAAATTATATAATGTGCTCTTTCTCTAAAATATGGGAGAAAAAGAACAGTAGATTAATATTATCAGTAAAGCTTTTGAATGATTACCTTTTGAAAATGTTAGTGAATGAAGTAGAATAAAGAGGTTCTCTTTTCCAGCTCGTAACCTTGGCTATTCATATTAAGGTCCATTCATGACCACCCAAGATTACGGCTATAAGACACTAGACACATTGGAGAATATACTAATAATTTACCCTCAAGTAAACAGTCCACAAGTCCTGGCTTGTTCTTACCATCGTGGTGGCAGCTGAGTGGTTCATTTGGTGATGAGATGCTTTCAGTTTGGCTTGTAAGTGTGCAGGAGGATGAAAGTACTTGCATCTCTCCCGGGAGCATCGGCCTTTGATGAAATCCATACAGATGGTCACAGTATTATCATTTGCTTCAACCATAGAAACATCAGTAGGATGAGCGTAGCGGCAATCATTCTCACCACGGGTACAATTTCCACGCTGAAATTCTCGGCAAACCTTAAAGAAAAAAAATCACATTGATGACTTGCAAAATGATTAGGTTTAATTTATTTTGACAGTGAATGTAAGAGCAATAGTATACATTACTTTGTCATCTAGGAAAAATCTAAAAAGCTCAAGGATAATGTAAAGCCATATTCACTATGAGATGTAAACATAGACAAAATTTTGGTTCCTAGAAAAAAAAAAAAAAATCAGTACGTCCAAAGGAAAGTTGTCTGTTTTTCTAACATTGAAATAAAAGTGCTTAAAAGCATTGTTGAAAACCAATTTTTAGCTTTCCATTTAATTCAGCCTAAAGTGTTACTAGCTAAGTTTTCAAAAGGGAGTTATTTTGTTAAGGTCCGAGATGAGTCTTTATCACACAGCAATGTGCTTTTCCAAAAGCAGACCTGTGGATCATGATTGTGTACAGTCAAATTTCACTATGATACACTATCAGGCATTTAAGGAGCTGCCAATAAAGCTGACTTTGTAAAATATTGACTAGTTATTTATTTCAATTTATGAAGAATGATAATTAAGAGATGTTTGAAGGAGTTCAATAAATCAGAAAGTTGTTTGAAATTTATTTTATATTTTCTTTTCTTAGGCATCAAGGGATATTTAATATCTAATACATCATTCTCAAAAATGTTAAAAATGGTTCAGATACTATGAGACTCAATTACATTCTGCATTAACAGATAGAGTAGTCTACTTTTTTTTCAGTTTGATTATTCTAGCAAATTATTCAACAAATTTGTAATCCCAGTCTATAAAGCTAGAGCCTGTGTAAAAGTAGCATTCCCACCAGACTCACTGTGCTATAGCAAAAGAGATGCAGTCTGTGGCAAGGTAAACTAAGACATTCTTTGACCTACTGTACAACTGCATCAGTGCACTTCACAGAAGGGTATAATTGCAGTAGTAAAATATTTAACATTTTTCTGAGGTTATACTCCATTAACTAAAAACTCAGGTGCATTTATTTAAAACATTCAAAGCATAGGGCTCTAAGGATTTTTTAATGCATAAGGTTAATATCAACCACATAAGTATTTATATATTTCTACACAAATACCTCCAGTTTATCTGAACGCATCAGTTTTGGACCAGCAGCTCCTGGCAATGCGAGAGGAGGGTTTCCAGAAAACAGAAGAGGTGCATTTGGTAAAAATTCGGCAGGAACCAGGCCCATCCCAGGATGAGGTAAGTAAGAATTGAAAGCCATGGTAGGATTAGCTGCAAGTGATGGAGTCATAGGAAAGGAAGTCTGTATGTTTGAAAGAAAAAAAGTGTTAGAGGTAAACAGATTATTCCTATTAATACACAAAGAGACATTCTTTTAGAAAGCCTAAGCATATCAAAATTTGCCACTGTTTCTCAGATCTATTTTGAGTCTCATACTAATTCCAATTACGAGTTGCTTTTAAAACAATAAATACCTTTGAGAATCAAATTTATTGATAAACTGACAAAACAGATCACCTAATTTTTAATAATCACGAGTTACCCAAATTTTACCTCATTGATGGATTCTTTTCCAAATGTGTTTTCTTTAGCACTTTCATTTTTACCTAAAAACCATGTCACTAATGATATATTATACAGATAATATATCATTGTCTCCTTCCATAGGTATTACCTATGTAGGCAGATTTAAGGTTCTTCTGAAAACCCCCTTTGTTCCACCCTCCTCCTCCTTCTTCCCCATCAGTACTGTTTGGCTCTAAGGCCGCCAGTCCTACCACAGTTCCCACCTGCCCTATCAGTCACTTGTTTCTCTTGGTCTACTATTAATCATAGAAGACAGCAATTAGTGAGGAAGAAAGAGGTAGATTTAAAATGTAGAAGCTGTAGCCCTGGCCCATTTGGCTCAGTGCTTAGAGCATCAGCCCTCGGACCAAAGAATCTCGGGTTTGATTCCAGTCAAGGGCATGTACCTCGGTTGCAGTTTGGTCCCCGGCCCTGGTAGGGGATGTGCGGGAGGCAACCGATCTCTCTCACATCAATGTTCCTCTCTCTTTCTATCTCTCCCTCCCACTCTGACTGAAAATAAATGGAAAAAGCCAGGTGAAGAATATATATATATATATATATATATATATATATATATATATGAGCTGTAACAATTTCATGCCAACTACTTAAAATGAAATTGGTATGATAATTAAAACACTTTTTATAGTCCCATTTTATAAACTTATCCGAGTTGCCTAGCTTTGTCTTTATCTACGGGGCCAGATGATATCCATAGTTCAAAAGGAAGCTCTAAAAATACTACAAGGATCCCTGTTAGATAGGAAGAAATAAAATAACAAGAGTATAAGTACATAAACTGGAATACCAAGGCTCTTACTGTTTTTTCTATTTTTAAAAAGTTTTCACCTCAGAGTTTGATATATATATATATATATTTTTTTATTTTTTTTTATTATTTCTCAGTAACCACAGAATTTATCACTTTACTGTGCTGTTTTCCATTTTTTTCCACATGTGGTTATCTTTACTTCTCAACATGGTTATCATTCTTTGGTAGTTGTATTGTCTCCCCTGTAGTACCCAATACTTAATGACTGATTGACTGATATAATCAATGCTAAAGTTTAAAAATAAATGTAAACATTTTAAAGAAATTAAATCATGGTTAAATGTAGTACATTTTCAACAAAAACTATATGAAGTAGTGCCGTGTTCCAGTAGGTATTACTAATAGCATGTATTCTTTCTTGCTTTCTTTTTATTTCTTTCACTAAAAAAATTAATGAATCTGTTACACTGATAACCACCTTGTGCCCACACCTTCTGCTAAATCACATTAACAGGGACAATTCTAAATACACAGAGAATAGGAGGTTGTGGAGTATGCAGTGAGGATAAATATATATTCCCTATATCACCCCTAGTCTGACTTTAAATGTTCACCATCACAGCATTCTCAATAAAGTCCTTGTTATAAACCACACTTAACTTGAAAGAAAGGGCTTCCTTATCAAATTAACTAATTGGCAATTAGGAAGGACCAACAACCCCCCCCCCAACTGGCAAGACTTACTAGGGTGAGTAGAGAGGGCATGAGGGCCAAGAATTTTAAGAAGAAAAAGGCAATACCAGGTGCCAAGAAAGATGATAGAACAGTCTGGGAGGGGTTTTAAGGTTTGAGGACAGTCAGCCAAGGGCTGACCTAGCCTAACAAGGTACTATGATGTGAGAAGCTATATAGGCATGTCATATTTTTTACTAAATAAGATATGAAGCTCCAGGAATTAGCTGACACAATATTATCTTATATAATGTAATAGAAATCTCTTGAAAACATCCACCCAGGCATACTTCCACAAAAAGGCAGACTTTATCAATTTGATGATTTATGTTTTTTTTCAAAATCAAAAAGAATCTCTATAAAATCTCCATATTTGAACCACACAATAGTACTCTTTGTTGAACTTCCATTTTCTCTCTTTCAGAGTAAATTTCTCACTAAAGTCACCATCCTATTCTCCTGGATACTTTTTGCTTTTGCTTTTTACAGAACTGAGAAGAACCATTATTACATTGAGAAAACTATTGAGCCCGGCTAGTGTGGCTCAGTGGTTGAGCATCAACCCCTGCACCAAGAGGTCACTGGTTGGATTCTCGGTCAGGGCACATGCCCAGGTTGTGGGCTGAATCCCCAGTGGGGGGCATGTTGGAGGCAGCCAATTGATGTTCTCTCTCACAGATGTTTCTCTCTCTCTCTCCCTCTCCCTTCCTCTCTATTTAAAATCAATAAAGAAATTTTTTTAAATAATAAAATAAAAAACTATTGAATTAAAAGAAAGACCTGCATGCAAGTCGATTTTCCAGATTAAAAACATCATTAATGACTAATACATACTGATCAATTAATAATAATTAAGTCTAATGTACATATAAGCAATGCTTCCCATTTATAGTAGTTCTGAACTTCCAACTTTTCCTTCTTTTTTGAGGGTAAAATTTTCTTGGTTATCTTCTGCTTTCTTTTTTTATAAAAAGTTGTGGATATTTGTTTTCTCTCTTATTATAGAAGTACCTACATAATATCCTCAAATTTTCCCATTGTACCACAAAGCCTAAAATCTTTACTATTTAGTCATTTAAAGGATTCCCAAAAATAAAGCACTCCATCAATTTCTGGATTAATATGCTAATTATATACAAATCTCTTGATGTAAATTTAATACTTGTGGCAATATTCTAGAAGTTGAAAAAGTTTGGCTTTAGAAACCAATACTAACATATTCACTGAAATGTTCTTTTAAATAATCACTAAAATTAGGGTTCTTAACTACTTGTTATTAATAATAACTACTCAGTGACAAGGATAGATGTAATCCTATATAAAGGTAAAATTTGAGGAGTCATCACATATTGGTCTTAAAGGATTCTGAAGCATCACTGAAAAATAATATAATTTGATGAAAAGCTATGCCTCAAATAGATATGTCCAATTTACACACACATTTTAGAAACATTGATTTAATACTTAAATGCGTTATTCCTCAAGCTAATATAAAGAAATAAAAAGTAAATGTTAGCTAAATCAGTCTTTGTGTCTCCCCAGCAGCCTAGATCTACTTGTAGTTACTTCAATAATATCAAGGTCAATTACAATTATCGTGGAATGAATGCAAAATTCTTTAAGTCACTTTGGTTAATCCTGGCCTGAAAGGAATATAATAATTGAGGCTTTCCATCTCTGAAGTCCTATCTAGAGGTGGATGACTAAACATTTTCTTTCATAGGATTGTAAACATTTGGTAACCATTTGTTGACCCAATTTTAGACTTTTTAAAAAATCCTCACCAGAGAACATTTTATCTTCAGACAGAGTGGGAAGGAGAAAGAGAGAGACACATCAATTGACCAGAATCAAACCCGTGACTCTTTGGTCTGTGGGCCAATGCTCTAACTACTGAGCCAAACTGGCCAGGACTGTTGATTCAATTTTATTACCAGAAAATAGTCCTCTTAACTTTTACTAGCACTCATAATACCTAATTTTATTGCTCATTTACAAGCATTTATATAGTATAAAATGAATCCAGTTTCACTATCACCATGCATATTTCTATCCTTAGGTTATCCCAAAGCACACTGAAATGTATAATTTTAGTTTCTATCAGACTTTGGTAACTGTTCACATGGAGCACAAATGAATAATCTTGGTTTCGCAGTTTTTGTTGGGTCATCTCCAAACCCTTTGTGTGATTTTCTGCGTTCACTGAAATGGCCAAAAGGCATGGTGGGAGGCCCATATAACCTTGACTATTTAATTGGTCCAGTGGTAATTAGAGTTAACTTTATAAACAGACACAAGCAGATAGTGGTGTTTATGTGCTAATCATACTTGTTCATGAATAAGTCATGGCTCCAGAGAAAAAACTAAGAAAAAAATAAGTTCAAGGGTCAAAATTGGATAGTTGTTCTCACCTAGACCTGGACTTTTTGACCTTATTAGTCACAGAATTCTCCAAGTAAAAGGAAGCATTGAAGGTAGACAGGTAGGTGAATGATCAATAGATTATTGTGGGTATAAAAGGTGTAAAGTATAGCATACAAGAAAGGACAAATCCTGGTTTGGATCTGCCTGTACTTGGTGGATGAGAATTTGCAAAGTAAGCCAGGAGTTATAATAGAGAACCTACAAAGAGATCAGCATTAACACCAGATGATGACTAGAGGCAAGGATCTGGCAAGGGGGCAAATTATTTCTCCTTATGTGAGCAAGATAATTTTGACGTTGTTCCTGAGAAGTGAACAGGAACTGACCGAAAAATTATTTGTTGGTGAACCACAATGTAATAATAATGACAATTAAATTAACTTTAACATCCCACTAGGAAAGGAAAAGTATTTTAAAAAATCAAATCGTTACTCAATTTAAACAAAAGGTATGAAACAAATTATAGATATTTTAGATTTTTTTTTTTTTGAGGAGAGGAATGGCAAGATCTCAGAAAAGCAAAAAACCCACAGAGAGACTGGAGACTATAAACATATCAGTGCAAGTCCAGGATAAATGGATGCTAAGGATTATGACCAGGTGTTCAAAAACCACCACCACAATCACCAAAATAACATAAATGAAAACAAAACCTCAAATGGTTAATAGCAAGATAACTCTATGGAGAAATAAAAGAAAAGCCCAAAGCTATACAAATACAGAGAATCAGGTGTATATCAGAAATTAAGGAGGTCACAAAAACATTAATTCACCATCTTACTATTGTCATATTTTCCTAGAGGGTA